CATCCAGACAGGCAAGAACCTTCCATCAGCACTGTGCCTCATACCGGGCAGGCGTCAGTGAGTGCGTGCGAGAACATGAGCCCCTAGACATCCCCAGTGGGCCATTTTAGATACTAGAAAAGTGCTCCTTCACACCCAAATCTCCTCTTCGGTCCTACCTTCTAGGCCCTACTTTGGAAGACAATAGAAAATGAGCCCATTGTCTTTCAACATATCCTTGTTCCCATTCTGTGCCCATCCCACATGTTCCCTCTCTGGACTAGGCAGCCCTAGAGGTTGTACAAGTTGGGATTTCCAACCTCCCTCCCCTTGCAGTGCATCCTCCGGTGAATGCCATACCCAGAGATTGCCCCTCCCCTTTGAAAACCAGCCATTTTTCAGGATTTCCCAAAGATGGCCACCACGGGCCTGCCCAGTGCCCTGGGATGGGTGCATCAGGCTGGAGTTCAGCCTAATTATAGTGACCACTCATTGTTCTCCTTGAGGCAGAACAGAACAGCAGGCTGCGGCTGAGTCCACACTTCCTCTGGTACATGTACCAGTTCATGTCACACCCTTCCCTGCTTCCATGACACAGCCAGTGCCATCCATCCCCAGATCTGACACTGGGAGGCCTTGAGAAAGTCATTTTAAAATCTCAGGGCCTGTTTCCTTATCTGTGAAAGAGCACGACTAGGTCAGAGGGTGTCTATCTCAAGTCCACTTGGCCCCAAGGCTCCAGGCCTACTCCATGCCCACCTGCCTTCAAAAAACCCTACAGCCCCAGCATGTAGAACAATGTCAGGCACATAGTAGGTGCTTAGACAATAACTCACAGGATGGTTAGATGGTGAGATGGACAGACCCTCCATATATCCCAGGCCCACTGGCAAAGAGAGAAGCCAGCTATTTAGAAAGAGGGGACCAAGAGAGGCCTGCCACCTGCAAACATCAGGGACTTACATGAGGATGAAATGCCCAGGGTACCCTGGGGAGCAGGCAGACCAGGAATCCACCCTGACCCAGCCTTGCCTCTGCTAGCTGTGTGACCATAAGCAGGTTACCCACTTTTCTGCACCCCAGTTGGTTCCATGATACAATTTGCCTCTCCTGCTTACACCAGATGGACTCAGGCCAGCCCTGGATCCTGCACAAGCCACTGTGGGTCCCTGATGGCCCAATGTCATGAAAAATAGGGCTTTGTAAACTGTAGGTACTATGCAAATGACAATGACATTTGTCATTATTGGTGGTTAGGAAGGTGGCTTCTGGTGCCAGACCACTGAGTCAGAGTCCCAGCACCCCTTTTTGGCAGCTCTATAGCCTTCAGCCTTAGCTCCTCATCTGTGACATTGGGGATGCCCACAGCACCTATGTCTTTATGTTGTCATCAAGATTAAATGAGTGTGTTTTTGTAAAGCTTTCAAAATAAAGCTTGGCAGATAGATACAAAGTCCCATCACAGGGTTAACTTCTCACTGTTGCTGTTAGTACCAGTAAGGGTGAAAACAGACTGACAGTCCCATTTTCCCAACCACCCTCCTCCAGAGTCCCTACCCAACCTCCTGACCTCCAAGTCACTCTGCAAGGACATTCCAAGCCCCTGGCTGGGATGGCCCATGCAGGGAGAAGCCGTATGCATGCCATCACCCAGGTCTCCTGGGTGCCAGGCTATGTGTGCAGAAGGCCTGCGTCCAGACGACCTTGAGGGTCACTCCATATAGCTGTCACCATCGGGAAATTCCTCTCACTTTCATTTCTCAGAAGTTGAGAAAAGCTCCTTCAGCTCTTTGCAAAGATCAGGAGTGTACATGGCAGATGAGCCCTCTCCACTCCCCATCGTGCCCCACCAGCAGACCCACAGGAGGGTGGTGACCCTAGGACCCTTCTACCAAAGGCCTTGGGCAACATCTGTTGAGTAAGATGAAATCATGGGTTGAAGATTAAGCCACTTTACCCTGGTCAGCCTGGGTACAGCCTGGAAAATGTGTTTGGCCAGCAGGACCTGAAACTGGGCAGAAATTCTGTGTGCAGGATGAGGAGTCTGAATCCCGCAGGGTTAGGGTTTAAGCAAGATCAGTGAGAAGACCGGAGGGAGCCATGGGGAAAACACAACAGACAGACAGATAGACACACCATGTGAGGGATAGGGAGGGGGCAGGGAGGCTGGAGGGCAGGCAGCGAATGGAAAAGGAAGGAAAAATACAAACCCGCCCTTTCCTCCCTCTTGTGAACCTGTTCAAAGCACTCGTCTCACCCACCCATGAGGAAACAGGTGCTGAGTGCTCTCAAGAGAAGCCAAACTTTCTCTGGTTTCCCCTGGGTCACTTTCCCACTCCCCAGGGACAGCAACAGAGCCATCCCTTGCCACAGACTCCCCCCACCCCCACAGAATTCAACAGTCCCTAGTCAGTACACCAGGCAGTCTGAGCAAGAGCAGTCCTGTTTGCTGGCTGCCTAGTCTGTGCTAGACATTGGGCTGAAGGCCTTTCTTCCAGTCACTCAATAAATACATATAGAGCACCTTCTGTGTGCAAGACAGTGGAGATACAGCCATGTACAAGACATGAAAAGTCCTTGACCCCATGGAATTTATATGCTGGTGTGGACAAAGCCTCTTAAACAGGATTAAGTAAGTAAACAGCATAGGGTATCAGAGGTGATGTGTGCCAAGGGGCAACGAAAGCAGGAGAGAGAGGGAGGGTTGCTGGAGCAAGGGAAATGCTGACAGTTGAGCCAAGACTTGGGCAGGAGGGAGCCTTGCTGGTATCTGTGGGGTGAGCATTTCAGCCAGAGGGAACCACAAGTACAAGGTCCTGACGCATCGTGCCTGGTATGCCCAAGGAATAGAAAGAGGCCATGTGACTGAAACAGAATGAGTGAGGAGATGGGAAGGAACGGAGGTGAGAGGGGAAAATGATGAGAGAGAGGTAGACTAGAAGGGGGTGAGGGGAGAGAGGAAATCTATCATGTAAGGCTGTGTTGGCCAATGGAAGAAATTGGGCTTTTGCTCCAAGGTGGACAGGCATTGAAGGGTTTTGAAAACAGGTTAATTAAATGGATTTGTTCATTTTTTTCTTTGGACAAACTTATGGACTAGGTACTAGTACTACCTTCCATTCTGAAGAAGAGACTCTGCAGTCCAGGGAGGTTAAGTCACATATTCAAGGCCACACACCCAGGGAATCCAGGAAAGGCAGAGGTGGACCCAGAGGGTGGCAGCCTTAACTCCTGCTCTCTACTGCAGGGGAATGGGTTCTGACTCAGGTAGGGGAGCCTCTGGGAGCTCAGTCAGATGGCACCACCACTCCCCAACCAGGTGGCTGGCCCATCTTCCCCAAGATGGGGCACATCACAGAGACTAAAAGATTCTACCCCCTCACTCAGGCAAGAGTCCTTCTGGATTTTATCTGCAGTTCCTCCAGCTGGAATGCCAACCTATTCCCTTTTGTTCCAACCTCTGCCCCTCCTCATGTAAACAAAGCTCATGAGACTCTCAGCAGTCAGACATCTGGCTTCTGCCTGGTGGTCCCTAAACACTAGGCCCCCAGCCTCCCAAAGCAGCCAAGGACATTCTGTTCCCAGCCACAAGGTGCTAGTTCAGCTGGGATGATGAGAGAGATATGCTCGCCCCTCTCCACCCACCCTCCTCGGACGTCCCTGCTGTCCCTCTGCAATCCAAGAGCAATCCCTCACTGGCAGGTCCAAGCCAGGCTGCACTCTGGCCCCATTCCCCATAGCACCCCACTCCTCGCCCCTGCTGTTGTCGGATGACCCTTGACTGTGTTCTGTGCGAATGACACTCCCCAGCTGGAGCAGTACAGCTGGGCAGCGCTGAAGCCCAGGAAGGTCTGACACTGGTGAGACCAGGGACGGAGGAGCCACTGCAAAGAAGGTAAACAGCCCAGCAGGGCCTGGGCCAGTGCAGAGAGCAATGACACCAAGAGCCCGGAGCACTCTGTGTGCTGTATTTCATTCCACCACCATGCTGAACAAGAACAGAGGGACAGGGGGTGTTTATGAGCACTGAGAAAAACTTTGGAGCATCTAATCCAGCCCTTCTCTTTGACAGAAAGGGAAACTGAGGACCTGAAAGAGTGTGGGACTGACCAATTGTCACAGGGCACATAGGTGCTGGAGCAAACAGGTAGGTGGCCTGACTGAGCAAGGGGCCTCACAGACATGGGCACACTTACCAGTGCCTAGGCCCTGGGAGAGCCCTGCCCCCCAGCCCCACCTACACCAGCACAATCCCAAGCACTTGCCACCAAAGTGGCATGGATCCCACCATGCCTATATAGTGTCCCCTCCATGGCATAGCCCCCATGCCCACGCGCACACACATTCAGCCCCATCCTCTGCAGCCCCCAGAGCCCTGCCGCCTCCAGCAGTGCAGGAGGCAGGAGTACCTCTGACAGATGAGAGGTGGCAAGGGGTAGGGAAGGAGAGCACCCAATACCCCAAACTAGCCCAGGGCCCCTCCATAGCCCACAGGTCACAGGCTATACTACGACCCCCTCCAGACTATTCTGGAAGCCTAATGGGGGGGAAATGGAGAGAGACCAGAAAAGCATAGTCAAGCTAAGGAGCTTGACCCTGAACAGAGGCCACCTGGATGTGAGAAACCACCCAGGTGGGTGGACTCTGGGTCATGCCACCCACCCCAGTCCCCTGCTGGAGGGCGCCTGACCCAGAACCCAGTAGGCAGAAGGAGATGCCACAGCAGCCCCTAGTCCTCTGAGCCCTGGGACAACAGGCACCTGGCCAGACCTAGAGACACACGAGATGCCCTTTTATGGGTTTTTCCAAGGACTCGAGTCTCAAGGTTGGAAATAGCAGGCCCTGCATCTCATCAGAAGGGGCCTCATGACTCATTTCCTCCCGGTCCAGCTTGGGCCTACGGAGGTCGACCCTCCTCCTCCCACCTCATTGCCCAACAACATACTCCATCTAAAGAAAGCTCCAGTGGGGAGCTGCAAAGGGGGGCCAGCCAGCAGGGGCAAGGAAGGGCTGTCACTCACCACCAGCTCATGGTTGGATGGAGGAACGCAGGGGGCAGCCACCTGTGGGAGGAGCAGAGAAAAGGCAGGTGAGGTCTCTTCTCAAGGTCATCCCCCACTCCTCACCCCTTCCCTCACCCACACTGAGATTGTCCAGTTAACAAGTTCCTCAGAAGACATCATGGCAACAGGGGCACATGCTTAGGTGACAACACCTGGGGGAGGGGGGGCACAGAACCCAGGAGTGAAATGTGTGGCACAACCACAAGCCTGTGCACACTATGCAGACACCAGATGCTGGAGGTCAGATAGCAGTATTTAATACAAGATCGGTAAGGAGGTAAGAAGAATTTTGACTCTTTGCCCTGTTTTCTTAATTCTCTACAATATGGTAAAGTTTGGTTTGCATTTTTAAAAGCTAAGATGAAGACCTCTAGAAAAGGGAAAATCACTTCCTTCATTCTCCCCATCGCCATGGGATCTCACCCAAAGGTCGGAGCTGCGGAAGGCTCCTTGCAGCCCTGGCCAAGTTTCCCACAGCAGCAGGAGACAGGCAGTGAAGGGCCCCTGCCAGCTTTTCCTGAGAAAGTCATCAGTGCTGCTAATGAATGAGAAAGGCCCTGGGGGGCTGAGTACCCTCTATGGGTGAGCTGTTGCCTTCATCTCCCTCTCTGCCCTGGGGAAGATGGCAACTTGGGCCTCCAGACAGGGGTGGGGAAGAGAGAGAGAGGAGAGGAGAGGAAGGGAGGGAGGACTGACTGCTCGCTCCCCTCCCTGAGATAACATTCCCCAGCCAGGCCAGGCAGCCGAGCCATTATCCTGACAATTAGCAGGGGCATTTATCAGACTCAATGTGCTCCTTTTTTCTAGCCGGGACACGTTTTTCTTGGAGCTCAATCCTCAACCCTGGCTCCGGTCCCCGACCTGAACATCAGGCACGGGGCCCACACAGGGCACAGAGAGGGAGGCTCTCCCTCAGGCATGAGGGTGTCTGGGCCTAAGCCATGGATAGCCCAAGGGGGAGGACACTCAACAGTGGGCAGCCCCGCCCTGCCCACCAGCCAGTGGAGTGGTGATGGCACAGGACCAAGTAGCCTGGTTGAGTCTGCCCTCCTCCTGCTTGAAGGATCGTCCCACCAGCCCAAGGACTCCCCAGGCTTGACACCCCAGCCCAGACAAGGACACTGGGGCCCATGATCTGGGGTGAGGTGGCTAGCAGTTAGCAGCTCTGGGTTCTAGATCCACTAGTGACACAGGCCCCCGGCCCAACTCATTCTCCAGCAAAGAGGCCCAAGTAAGTACTCTTAGCATTCATTTATCACCCTTTAGTCAACAGAATTCCAGGGCTGCTGGGAGAACCACATGGGACCAAAAGGGCCCATCAACAACCCTATGCACCACTTATCGAATATGTGCTCTATAACAGATACTATTATAAATGCCTTACCCATGGTAACTCATTTAATCCTATCAACAACCCAGTAAGGTGGGTACTACTGTTACATCCCCAGCTGAGGTGCATGGGGCCAGAGAGGTTAGACAACTTGCCGAAGGCCACACAGCTGATAAGTGGCTGGGATTTGAATCCAAGCAGTCTGATTCCAAGTCAAGATGTAAAGGGGACACTCATGACCCCACTCTCAGGACAATAAGAAAACTTACGGGCAATCACCACCAGAAATCCAGGGACAGGGCCCAGGGGTGGGTGGAGGTGCCAGAGGAACAGGCAGAGAGGGAAAGGAAAGTCAGTGCCCAAAGCTGGCTGTAGCTTTCAGGACTCCCTACCTGCCCTGCCCACCAGACAAGGTCTCAGCCACAAGTGACACTGCTGTTCCTTCTCAGACTAGCCCCAAAATCCACTCTCATATCACAGACCAGGTCCCCAAGGTGCCCTCTCCCAACTCACTCCATGACCATGGGACCCTCAGGCTCTGGCAGGAAGTGGGTACAATGCCTAGGACTGTGCATTTGCAGTGATAGTTTCTTCTGAGCTGGAGCTGAGGCTGGACAGGGAACCTGAACGCAGGGCCAAGCCCTCTCCATTGCTCCCCTCTGTTACAGGAGGCCAGGAGCAAGGCAGCGGCAGAAGAGACAGGTGTTCTCCCAGACAAATGGCAGCATCTCTCTCCCAGACCCAGCTTAAGGCAGTAGCAAGGATCAGGTGGGATGACTAATGGTGCCTTCCCCAGCCCCCTCAGGCAGAATCACTCCCCCTAAGAACCTGGATCTGCAGTGGGGCTGCCGTGCTCCAGCCCAAGAGCCTGGGACCCAAGTGTCCCTCAGACTTGCTGCCCCCCATGGCCTCTGCCCCCTCCGCCCACAGCTGTGCATTCCAGGCCGGCCAGCCGGCCAGCCCACTAACTCTGTGGTGTGTTTCAATGTTTCTCATCTCTCTTTTTTTTTAAGCAGAGAAATGTTTCCTTAAAAGGCTACCTCCTTCCCTCCAGCACCCTGGCCCCTGGCCACCCTCTCAGGAGCCCGGAATGTGCCAGGGAGAGCCAGGGCCCCTTGCCACCCTGTGGCGTGCACACTATGGTCCCATAGTCTTGATATTCAGAGAGACCACCCCCATTGTCCCTGGGGCACCCAAACAAGGTTGCTCCCCTCTCCAGAGGAGGAGAATCTGGAGGGTCTGCAGGGGCTCTTGGTGCCAGCTCTGCCATTGGTTCATCTCCCAAGGGTGGTAGTGCAGGATTCCAAGGCTTGAGCCCAGAATGGCAGCCTTAGGTAGGCCTTCTTCTCTAGCGTACCTCAATGACCCATCTGGACACTGGGGAATGAGAGGGCCTTATGCTCAAGCTTCCCACTCTGAACAATGTAATAATCATAGATGCTACAGCCCCAAGTACTCCCATCACACTTGCTCCGAGCCAGGCCCTGTTCTTAGCAACTTTGCAAAAATTAACTCATTTAATTCTCATAAAACCTTGACCATTATTATTGTCCTCATTTTGCAGATGAGGAGACTGAGGCACACAGAGGTTAATAAATTGGCCAACAGGAGGCAGGATACAAACCCAGAGCCTGGCTCTGGAGATGTTCCCTTGCCCTCTGTGCTATGCTGACACTCAAATCAACATACTTCCATGGAGCTATTAGCAACAGCGATGGTAGAACACTCAGGGAGGGGGGCGCTGCATGTCTGGACCTAGCCCTCTGCTCAGGTGTTACTGTCCCAAGCTCTTTGCTCTCATTCATTGGGTGCCAATAAACCCATTTTGCCGATGAAGAAACTAAGGCACAGAAATTTTAAGGATTTGTCTGGCACTGCAGCACAGCAGTCTGGCTCTGGAGCCTGTGAGGCAGAGCCTTGAGGGTGCCGCTGGGAGGTGACAGTGTCAGCCACCCAGACCAGAGCCAAGGCCTGGCGTTCACCAGCATCTCACACACCCACCAGTATTTTCTCCACATCAAAGGCCCCTGGGCACAATGCAAACAATAGGGCACACTGTACAGATTCCCCAGAATGACAGGGGCTGCAAGCGCCAGACAGCAGGCAGCCCAGGCAGGAAGATCCCCGTGGGACCTGGCCCCTGCCTCCTCTCAATCTTTACTCTGTACCTGACCCCCCTGACCAGGACCCAATGCCACACACAAGGGGTGGGTTACTCTTAATCCTTCCAACCCCCTACTCTGTTCTTCCTCAGAACCTGTGCACAGGCTGTTCCCTCTGCCTGGAAGGCTCTTCCTCTAGCTGTCTGCATAGCTGTGTTCCTCCTGTCCTTCTGGCTCTGTCTGAAATCCCACCACCCCAGAGAGGCCCTGATTCCCTTAGACTATCTGCATGCACACGCACACACACGTGCACCTGCCCACACACATGCATGTACATACACATGCATGCACCACACACGCATGCACACACACACTTCTCTCTCCTACCTCTTTCGTCACAGTCCTCGCACACCTAATTATGTTTGTAATTACACACGTGTGCTTCCTTGTCCATAATCCATTTCCCCTTCTACAAAACAAGCGTCATGGGGGTGGGAGGCATGTCTTGTTCACCACACTAGTCCCAACACAGACCCAGCACACAGTAGGTGCACACTAAATATCTGCTGAAAGAGTGAAGTGACCCAAGGCCTGAGGAAGGAAGACCCTTGTAGCCACTTAGGATAAAATTCACCACTGTTGGAGCTAATCCTGTCACATGCTGGTCTTTCTGAGACTCTCTCCATCCACGAAGTCAGCAAATCACTCCCATTTCACAGATGAAGAAACGGAAGTTGGAGGAGGCCATGGCTCTTGGGTCCATCAGCTGGGAAGGGGTTTAGGTCACAATCTGCATTTGTGAATGATAAAATTTCTTAAGGTCATGGCTCTTTGGGTGACTGGTGTTCTGGTGTCATGGTGGTCACCCATTGTGGGTTTTGATCAATCTCATCAAAAGACTCAGGTTGCCCATCACAGTATTTCATATGACTGCAGTTATATGAAGTTATAACAGCAGTTATAAAGCTGGTTACACACATTACCAACCAGAGTGATAGGCGCTTAGACACGTACATTTCCCTTTTTGGCCAATTTCTTTACTAATGTGGTTCATCTGCTCATAGCTTTTATACTGGTGTGACTGTCATTAGTACAGCTGAATGTTTACCATTGCAAAAATATGTTATTATCACCTATTTTATTGTGTAAAGTGGCTTAGGAGTCCTTTGTCATGTCTTTCTGTGTTTCTAAAAATAAATCTCCTTTTAAAAGCATTAATAAATATCTTTTAAAGAAATGTTTGATTATTTTTTCCAGAATTATATTTTCTGAATGTCAACATTCAGAAATATTTGGGACTATGGCATTCAGGATGGTATCTTCCAGGATGATGACTGGCGCCCACAGGAAAGGGAAACGGCACATGGAATCTTGGTCTAGGGCTCTGGCACAGTTCTTTGCAGAACAAGAGCAAACTCAGGCAATGACTGCCCCTGTCACCTCTCTGCTGCAAGTGATAGGATCTGGGCCCCAAATGGGTAATGCTCCCATCCCCAAGGCCCCAAGAAACATAAATAAATACCTTTTAAAGAAATATTTTATTATTTTTTAGGCCGACCTTATGTCTC